TCATGGCAGCTGAGGCAGCTTTTATTTACTTGGATCCCAGCTACTGTGGGAATTCTAGAAAGATGTGTTAGGCAAGAGGAAGGAAATCTTTGATTTATGTCACTGAACAGGCAGAATATGTTTTGATCTCTGCTGAAGCTATTTTACACCATAATACTAAGTCTGCCCTTCTGGAAACTCCAAATACTTATCTCTTTCCAAGAAATTCCTCTGTTTGCACAGCCTGAGAGCTACTGAAAATAGATTCTGAAACAACAGAATAGTCTAAAGTAGTCACAGTTATTTGCTACTATCTAAAAATGTGGTTAAAAGTACAGGCACTGTTCTTTTAAATATCAGTTTTGGAGGATGCCTGCTCAAAAGATGTGTCTGTTATATAAAAAGGTCTTTGATAGAAACCACTCTTTTCTCAGCCTTCCCAGCTGCAACTAACCTCAAAGATTTCTATGAAGGTGTGCAATAGACACATATTTATTATCATTTAAGACATTTGTCTGGAAACACCCATTCACAGCTATTATTCTGTAAACCATTTTATTCCTGAGTAAGATCCAAAATCAAGCTGTACCTTCAAATACTACAGGAACAGCTCCTAAAACAAACCCTTACTTTAGGGTCCCTGGTGACAAAAATCATTCTAGTCATCTTATAGTGGCAAAGCACCACCATGGTCTGATAATTCCCAAATATCTGTGCCAATATGGATTAAGGTTTGGGGGGGGTCTTTCCCCAGCAAGTAAGTGTTCACATGAAAAAACAAACTAACTATATCAAACAACAGCAATAAGGTACAGTGGAATTGCTGTTGCAATTACTGTTGCAGGCACACAGGGGGAGAACCCTAAAATAAAAGTAGAACCTGGGATCACATAGACACAGAAAGACATAGAAAGCTGAGGAAAACATTCTCCACCCTGGCTAAACCATATGTTAAAATAGTGATTGTCTTTTCAGTCTTTATTGCCTTATCAACAAAGCTTATTTCCCATCACCTGGAATTTTCTAAACCAATGCAAAAAGACAAATTACACACCTACCATCAACCATTTGGATAGCCCAGAAGCACTGCAGGATAATTAACAGTTCTTCAGGTCTGGCAAAAGAAGTAGAACACTTTATAGGACAGGGACAGCTAGGTGAAGCAATGTGCTACTGAAGCCATAAATCCCTCTGAACATGACAATAACTGAGGACACTACTAGAGCCTTAGAGATGCAACATCACCCACATGTACCACAGAGAGAAAAACAGGCCTAAACAAGTAATATGGAAAGAAAAGCTAAAACAGGGAAGTAAAAGTGAAAATCCTAAAACTGAAAATCCTAAAACCCACTCAGAAGACCACCTCATCCAGACTTCAGTTTCACAGTTTTGAGTCTACTCTCCCTTGGTTTCAGCTTTTCTGAGCATGTAATATTTCTGAAGTCTCTTTTTCTAGCCCATGGTAGCTGCCATGTGCCATTTCCTATGAAATTCCTCATCTGACTCACTACAGAAGACAGTAGATTAACAAGGGAAACAGGATACTAATCAGCCAAGAAAGAGAAATAAGTAAGAATAAAGCAAGCTAACAACTAAAAGATGGTCCAAGATCTGTACCAGTAGCTCAGACCCCCAACTTTTTTCACTAAATCTAACTGAAGGAGTATATCAGAACACTGGCAAATACAGGAGGAAAAAGAGGAAGATCTTACAGCCAGACTGAAAAATAGGAAACCCTTACCTATTGCTCTGTATGCTGAACACAGTTTTGCACATACTTGGATACTCACCCAGCAGTGAAATAATTCACAAATCTCATGGAAGTTCAAGGCAGGAACACTGGTATTTTTGGAGTAAACCACCCAACCAAAGAGCTTGCAAAGAGACTCTTGTTAAGCATGTTACACCCTCACTTTCCCTCAGTGCATAGTAAGTACAGACCACAGAGCATCAACATTCACTGGCATTTGTTCTGTTTAACAAGGTTTGACAGCTCTGGCCATTCCCAGGCACAGACAGCCTCCCAGGGATCCCACTGGACAGGCTGCTACAGCAGCAGGGAGGAACCAGGCCACACTGCTGCTGTCCTCAAGCATTTCAAACAAACCCACAAACATTCACTGCAGCAGTCCCATGCTCAAGCCACTGAGTCAGCCCCAGCATTTAATTTGAGGGCAATTTATGTAGCAGATCAGTTGATTGTACAAAGTTAGTTTGAGATAGGAGGAATAGCATAGATGTTTTGTTCCTTAAATTACAGAAGGAACTGAAAGATATCTGTAGACCAAACATCTCTGCTAGATTCATTTTACAGATTCTCAGTCTTTGCTTTTTTAAAAAGCTGTCATGGAGCCATCAGCTGACATTTGTCGGAGCTGACATTGTAAGGCATCAAAATTTAAGATAAAAAAAAAGGCAGATATTTTTCTCCACAGTTCTTATCTCTTAGCACAGATTTTACAGTCATTTCATTGTGCATCACATGACTTCTGAGCAAGACTTGCCTATGAGCCACCCTTCTATTTGAGTACTCATTATTTTATATTTTCTGTACTGAGTACTCATCATTTTGTATCTTCTGTATAGGCCAAAAAAGGTATCCATGGACCCATGTAGGTCAGATATAAAAACCCAAATATACATCAAGTCAAGGTGTGAGGAGGTAGGGGTCAAACAGATTCGTTTCTGCTTCACAAACCTTAACTAAAAAGACACCAGATTCATGTTGATTCATATGCATTTTCCCCCCACACCAGTTTCATGAAAGATCAAGAAAGCATCCTCTTTCAGCCAGAAAGGGTTTTAGAGTATATCTGTGAGAAGTTCCAACAAGTTTGAAATGTTATACCAAATTTTTCAGAAGCTAAATCACAGAGACTAACTAGGGAAATACTAAACACTTACATATGTGTGAGGATATGGATATGCACACAAACAAAAATCCTTCCAACAGAGAACCTCTCAACAGACAAGTGTACCAAAGAGATTCTGTCTTTATTCAGGAAAACCTCTATTCATTCTAGCTCAATGCTGGATGTTTCTACAGAGACAAAAGCTGTATTTCTTAAACCTAAGACAAAAATAAACATGAAGAGAAAGCACAGAACATCTGTGGGGAAAAAGAGCAAGGGGCTTAGTTTATGTTTGGCTAAATTGTACATTGAATTGAATTTGGGTTCATAAGTGTCGCTTATATTAAAACCCAAACTCTCCTACTAAAGAAACTTGGTTGTAACAATCCCTAAAAGTTGCTGTCTAGGAAACATATACAGACCCCAGAAACAGAGACCACAAAAAGCAGCAGTTATGCAATACAACTAATCACTCTTAGCCTGCAAATCAATCCAGGAGCAGCCTTGTTTGAACACTCCATCAGCTTCACAGGAAAGCTTTTAGCACACTTAGATTCTGCCTGGGGCCACCTCTATTTGTACGACAGAAAGTGTCCCCAGTCACATCTGATGGATGGCAGATCCCTTATCTCTGCTAGGTACCTGGTGTTACAGCCTGGAACCATTGACTGCCTTGCACAAACACAAATCTCCCTTAAGTCAACACTTAGCAGTCATTTTGTAAAGCAGTGCCCTGACAGCTGCTAGTTAATCATTGCACAATGCAAGACCGATTTCTGCTACAAACTATTCTTGGAGATTTTATAAAGAAAATATGAATACTAAAATATAGTGAAATTGAACAAAAACAGTGGAAGTGGAGATAGAAATAGTAAATATTGCCCAGGGCAAGCACTGGAAGGCTAGAATGCAGAAAGGAAGGAGGGAGCAATAATCTTTCCTCCCTCTTGATTGCTTCCCAAGAAATTCTATTCTTCTAATCTATTCAATCTAGGCATAGAAACAGTGACCAAAGATTTCAAAAGAGTGCCAAGACTTCAACTGGAAACTTGTAGGACACTCAGTGGCCAGGACAGCACACTTCACAGCCAAACCAGAACTACTGCTTTATCTTCAGAATTACAGGGAAATCATAATAACAACTACTCACTGCAAAATTACTCTTTCTTGAGACCTGCTCTCCAGCCTCCTGAACTAGAAAGTACAAGTTCTAACCTAACAACAGGAAGATTCAGAGATAGAAAAAGTAGCACAAATCCAGCTTTCCAAACAGTGGGAAAAACCCCACCAAAGTATCAGCTTCACCTTCTGGCATTCTTTGGAAAAAGGTGAAGTCAGCTTTTCTCACAGGAGATACAAATGTATGATTTACTAGAATGCAGACACCAAAGAGCAAAGAATAATGCATTTTAAATCTTTAGGGAATTGAAGCATAAGGATTTTGCCTGTCCAAGAAAACCCCCAAAACACCTGACACCCACAAAGTTACAAACTGATTCTGTGGAATTTTAATTCTCCCTTTACTGTAGTAAGCATTCTGTGCTACTGTGTATTCTACCAGATGCACCCTGAGGAGCACTTACTGCAGTTCTGAGCTCTTCTGTCAAGTTGCCAGAGGTGAAACAGCTGATCAGAAAAGGAAAACCAACATATCCCAGTGCAAACCTACCCTTCTTCAAAATTCTTTAAACCTTTTGAACCTTCAAAATTCTTTAAACCTGTGTAGAACTACTGTGCAGTTTCACTGCATTAGTCACAACCTGTGTCTCTTTCAGAAATAAGTGATAAATTATGTCCAAATATGAGAATTAGAATTGAGAAAAAGGAAAGCCTCAAGCACTACTGTCTATATTGGGGATTGAAATACTTTAAAAAAAAGGAAAAAAAAAGCAGAACAGAAAGCAAAGCTTCTGATCAAGACTGAATACTTAAGGAAATTAATAAATGAACTATTATTTAGTTTATAGTGTGTTAGTTTAGAGTGCACAAAGTTACTGTTCACACAGGTTCTGCACCAGACAGTCTCAATCTACACTGACAGTAAAGTGATCTAGTTCAGATTAGGTGAGGCCAAATAAGGCCTCTGTACTTTCTGGGTAATAAATGAACCCATGTAGAGGGCTAACAGCTACTCTAGAACACTCAGATCACTGTTATGTTTCTCACCTGATCTTCTTCTTCATCCTCCTCATCTTCTGCCAGCCGCTGCCGGCCCACTTCATAGAGCCTGCACACAGTGTCCATGTTCATGGCATCCATGCTGCCCTGGTTCTGCAGGGAGATGCCCACATGGGAGTTAATGCCAGGAACTGAGCTCAGCTGGTTGGTTCAATGCTACATCTGGCCCCAATCACAGCAACATTTCCAAAATCCTTCCCTCCCATTTACCAGCAGCACTACAATTAGCACTAAAAATGAGTCTCTTTGGTTTCAACACCTGCCATGTTCCCTGAAGTAACATTTTCAATGACTCCTATTAAAGAAAATTTTCTTGGTCTCACAACCCTTGTCATCTCCAACTTCAGCAGTTAAACGTGGAATTTGCCCTGCTACAGATCCTTGACTTGCTTTTGTGGTCTGTAGGGATCAGTGATTCACAGAGTATAAAGCTGACAGGACTTTACATTACTCACTACAGGTGCATAATCAGGCTTCAAGAAATTGGGTTCTGACAACATATTATGGAGCAAAGAACTGCATCCCTAACAAACCAGAAGTTTAGCTCAGTAATTTTTGCTTCAAATCCTTAGCTTCTGGGATTTTGCTAGGAAGACAAATGTAAAAGGAACAGTAAGAGTGATTCACAGAAAAGCTCTGTGGGAAGCCTCCAAAAGATTGCATTCCCCAGTTATTTGATACACATTTTAATTTGCAATAGGAAATTACTGCTATAAATATGAAAAAAACACATTTTTCTTTATGCTCATGAGAAAGAAAATCTCTGTACATTTTGAAGTGGGAAGAGTTTGAAGAAGAGAAGCAAATGTGTTTGGAAATTTAAAGAATAAGAGGCAGCAAAACAAAACTGCAGGGGTGCAGAATAAAAAACAAATAGCATCTTTAGCACCATCAAAACACCACCACTGCTTAGGACATGAATTTAACAGCAGGAACTCCAAAACAGAAACAACAAGCAGTGCATTCAAAGCACAGCTAGGAGACCAGGGTTTATTTTAGCAGCTTTACCTCAATGACAGCCAGATAGCAGTCCTTGCTGTCTGTGCACAAGTCAAAGATATTCCGCTTTACATCTATGGTAGCTGGAAAACATCACAGAACAAAGTAGTTAACTGCAGGTTACTTAATGTTCACTGAAAAAGAAGTGTCTAAAACCAAATAATACAGTTTTGGGACAAGAAAAAACAGCTGAAACTAGTGAAATAATGTTTGTAGTAATAAAGAATAGAAATGTTGGAGACCACTGTAAAAAACAGCCATGTAAGCTCTTAACCTGCTCTGCCCGGTGCCTTCTCCCTTGATAATATATTTATTGGTTTCCCTAAGCACCATATTCAGAATAGGTGGCAACAAAGGGACTGAGTTGTGACCTGTGCCTCCCTTCAACAGCAAAAGCCACATTTGTACATGTCCACAGCAGCAATTAGCTTAGCTCTATGAGCTAAAAAAAGAGCCCCGTGTGAAATGAGAGCAATGCCATCCTGGCCAAGTGACCTACTGTCTCAGATTATGCCTTACTTGGAAAGAAGAGAGGAAATAAAGCCAGAACTGCTCAACAGGAGCAAGTAAGGCAGTCACACACTGAATGGGATATGGGATACTTAAAATTATGTCAGTGTTAAACCCAACTCCTGTGCTTCCTCCAGAACAGGATGTAGTTTATCTTCTCACATGTGCAAAGAGAAGTGAATGTTATTAAGCAAACTTTCAAAAAACCTTCAAACCTCCAGACAAAGCTATTGGTGCCTGTCTTACTCTTACCTATAGGTTTATAATCAGTTGCATTAAATGTCCTGAAAGAAGAGCCAAAGGGACTTCTCATTCTCTCCTCCAGAAGGTCATCCTCATCATCCGCCTGCAACATAGCTGAACCAAGGAAAGATTATTCCAAAAATCTGCCTTCCATTAGTTGCTACCATTAATCAACTTCAGATCAAATGAGACTCTGACATGAATTTCTTTTTATTTAACAGCTTGGCAAGACCCATTTAATATCTACTCTTCCAGAAATGCCTTTATTGATAGTACAGATCATCAAAACTTAATACAGAGGACAAAATTATTTTCTCAAGCATCACTGGATCTGACATTATACAATAGGTTGCTTTTCAATCTCACAAATTAGTTGTGATATTGCTGATGTTACAGAAAACTGTCTTTGTCAGCAATACATGTAGCATGAACATCCTGGAAAAAATCCAGGTCACATATGCCAGTAAGGCCTAGAGTTACAGAGTCTCTGAAGCTTCCCATTTCACTGAACAAGCACCCACTTATCTCACAGGAGGTGACCCAGGAGAGCTATGGAAGGGGAGAAGTCCTACCTCCATACATCACTGTGCCAGTATAGTTGAAGACCACACGGCACTGATCCAGTGCAGGTACTGTGTGTAACAAATGGAAAGTTCGGAGATCCCACTGAAAAAACACAGGCTAAGGAGCAACAAACAATTGAGAATTTGTATTTCTTTTTCTGTGAAGAGACAAAGAACTGGCTAACTGCATTCAAGAAACCTCATTGCCTCTGTCTTGCAAATATGATTAAAGCAGAGGTGGACACTGGCTCTACAATTCCATTCCGTGTGTTCAAAATAAGAAAGCTCTTACTCAAAATGCCATTCCCAGACATGGGAAGTGACTGCAGTACCTTCAAGGCTGATGCTGTTAAGACATGGGAAGAGAGCTGAGGTGCTATGGAGTGTTATCAGAGAAGAAAATCTCTCTTGTTCTCTCTCTGTATTAAGTATTTTCTCCAGACTGCACCAGAGGCAGAATCCAGATTTAAATTAGCTACCTAACAGTCCCTACTCTTCCTTGATTCACAGATAGAAACTCCTGTTACCACATGTAACATGTAGCACAGAGGACCATGAATACAACTCTGCAAACAGCTCCTTGTTGATCCATAGCAGCTCTTGAGGTGCCAGTACCAAAGGATACAATTTCAGTGTTGACAATGACCTCCAGCCCATTGGGATGGAAAACACCACTGATAGTCATGTTGAATTTGTCAAACTTGTGGATGGCTTGTGCTGATCTGACATCCCAGAGGACACCATCATTTAGGACAAGGTCATCAGTGGGGTTAAAGGTGGCACAGTTCTTCTTGTAGTTGTTGGCAAGATCTGGGTTAAACAGAGTCAATAGCTTGTTGCCAGTCTGAATATCATAGATCTTTTAGATTAAAAAGAAAAAGAAAGATTAGTCACAATTTGTAATATACCTGTGCCTAAAATCTTCCTGTTCCCCTTCCTAGATTGCTTACAGAATCACCCCATTCTCCATTTCATTTTTCCATTTCAAGTGACAGCATTCCATAAATAACCTTTCCTACCAGCCCTTTAATGGTTTTTCACAGCTGGAACCAAGCCTCACAAGTTTTGGCCAGTGCTTGGCTTACTGCAGGTTCACTGACACATTTCACTACAATCAGGATGAGTTCCAAATAAAATAACCTCACTATGAAGAGTGGACTGGGAAGCTGCAATCACAAGGTACCACTTAGCCAGAAACTATTTCAGAAATGAAACTGCTTTCAGAGCAGATGGTATTTACAAACATTAAAACTCCAAAGCACACAGTGAGGGGAAAAAAGCCAGAAAGTACAGAAAATGAGTTAAAATTCCTGGCATTTATAGAGAAAGGCAAATTTAAGCTTTGGCACAAGAAACTTTTGGAATATAAAAAGGCCTTTAAACTAGTACAAAGGGTTTGTGATCATATCCTCAGATAAATCTGATCTGCAACATCCCTCAGAGCCTAGCTCTTGTTCAAACTTAGAGAGGAAAATATTCTCTAGAACTGGAAAACAAATCCATTTACCAGATAAACACAATAAACAAACTTCTAGCTAAATCCAAGTTAAAACTGGGCAGGAATGGAGAGTTTACTTAAACAAATCAGAGTAACATGTGAAATTATAAATAATTTGAATAAGTTATATTTCATGGAAAATTTTTATGCAAATTCTCTTTTAAGAGAGACAGGGCCTATAACAGATGCAAATTAGCACTGCAAAGCAGAAGAAGGTCTCTGAAGCCTTGTCTGTCCACCTTGCAGGAATTCATGCAAAGCACTACAATACTCTCTGAAGATAGAGTGGTAAAGTTAAATTACCCAAAAGTAGGCTGCAAATTTGTGGGGGGCAAAAGGAGGACACTTCTAATATGTCATTTCCACAGCTGTTGACTGAGCTACTGTTTACAGTGGAACTTTATTATTATTACTAAATAGCAACACTAAGAAAGCAACTTCAGAGGAAAAAAAAAATCCTGCATGATCTCTCTCAAATGAATAAAACAAAGCAGACTCTAAAATTGCCCAGGATACTTGCCCAGAGGCAACACACTGCTTGTGATGGTCAAGTTTATACCCTCAGGAACAGGGAGAAGTAACTTGACACTTTCAAAGTTTTCCTCTGAAGCTCATCAGTTACACAGAGCATCAAAGCACTCACATCAATTAACAGCCATCCTATGGAGAATTATATTTCTGCCAGAGCTTCACAGCCATGAGCTTTCCTGGTACTTACATGTGCAATGTCTCCCTTTGTGCCAATGACCCTGTCCTGAGAGTGCTTGCTGAACTCCACATAGTGGTCATCAGGGAAGGAATGCCTGCAGATACAGTCAGAAAAGAAGTCAAGGAATTGCAGATTCTACATGACCCAAACAACCCCAACACCTCCAGCACAGGTTTCAACAACGGAGAACAGATGTAGAAAACCCTCTCCTTTACCACTGACCACATCATACTGCAGTAGCAAATTCAGACCTGCCATCAACAGAGCCTGCCACAAATATAACACTTTGGAGAAGTCAGCAGTGAATTATGAACATTGACATGTGCACCTTAGGGAGTCAAACCTTTCTTCTGAAGAAAAGCCTGACCCCATGCAGGTTACACCAAAACAGTTGTTTGCAACTAAAGTAGACAACAATCAAACCTTTTAAAATGAAGAGTTTTCCACCCACGTTTTTATGGGAAGGAACAATTGTAAATCCTGCAATAGATTTTAAAGTTTGCAGTCCAGGTCTAACAATTTCACCATGCAAACCACCGTGCTAGTCAAATTCTGAACTGGCTACAGAAAGATCACCAAGGTAATTTACAAACATGAGAATAAAAACACAAATATGTTTCTTTGCCTTCAGGAGTAACAGTGACTTTAGTGATCTATCTTGTATGAAACAGGACTTCAGGTAGAACATAGAATTTGCTCTCTACCAAATAAAATAGGGAAATTACCAACATAAGAAAGGGATCACATTTTACTTTTCACAAGAGACATTTTAAGGTCTGTACTATTCTGTTTTACAGTTTATTCCTGTATCAAATGGTTCTTTCAACTGCAGCACACCCCACAACTGAATCAGAGAGTACCTACTTCATATCAAAGACAGACTTCATTCCCCACAATGCAGACAGAGGCTGGCTCCATGTAGCAGATGTCAGCAATAAAGATCCATCCTGAGTTTCCAGATTGGCGTAGAGGAAAGGAAAAGAACACCAGGGAAAACAGAGGTTATCATTTTACCTGTACACTTTTAACTTACAAGATCAATTTAGAAACTGCAGAGCAGACACTTTTGTGCTTAATACTACTCCTATAGGAATAAAATCCAAGTATCTAAGTACTATCCAAGTACTGTGTATAACAAAGAGCCCAAAGTATACAAAGTTTACAGGTAAGAACAGGAACAATCTATGATGTTAACAGCAGATAAAATCAGGATAATCCATGGCTGAATTCTGGTGCCCTGTGAGGGGAGTCCATTCTGCTTATAAATCTTTTCTTTCTTCCTAGAATCACCCCCTGAAAGGTTTCTTTCTCCAGCAAAGATATATAAATTCTGATATCTTATCTCGTGCATAAATAAATGTGTAATGGTCAGTCTAAGCATTTTTCCACTTGCAGACATATATATTAATTTCTTAAGAAGGCACACAGCCAGTGTGTACCTTCTTTATTATCTTGGGAAGAAAAAACCCTAAATGTAGAACTCATAAGAGCGACAATATGCAACTAAGATAAGTACTTCAACAACAGGCACTGTAGGCCAGCTAGTGGGTGCACTTCAGATGTACAAACCCAGATGGGCCCCAAACAGCCCAGGGCTCAGGCAGTGAGAACTGCTAAAGACCAGAACAGGTCTGTGGTTCCTTACCCTGGATGGCTCAAGGTGCGTGATGGCAGAGTTATGGCAGTTGTAACTGGCCTCCTCCTGGCCACTGAACACGTTATAGAGCTTCAGCTGCCCCGTGCAAGTACCCAGCATTAGGAATCGTTCTCTTGCAGAAAATGCACAACAGGTAAAGCCACTCTCATCCTCATTTGCTTCCCTGAACACAGAAATTGGACGGAACCTAGAGAAGGCAAAAATACATCGGTAATCCAAAGGAGGGAACCAAAACTGAAATGCTGTGTGACATTAAACCCAGCCCTTAAAGATTACACAGGTGCAAGTTATAACTTTCTTCTAGAGTAAGCCAAGTGTCAGTTTGAAGACTAGTGCTTGAGTATTACAACAGTGTTTGCAATCTTTCAGGGTTTGTTTTCCACTATGTGGTACTTCTGTTAAAGCACATCATTAAGCTGAAGCACTTGGACTCCATCTTCAAAGCTGGATTGATGGAAAACCTGTAATGTCAACACCTGGGTAAGTACAGAGAGCTAGAAAAAAAAATTCCTAACAGTTCTGAAACACTTAGCACAAGAAGATGTCACATGAGCTAAACAACATCCTGGCATCCTAACTTCCCACTGTGACACTGCTTTCACTGTGAAGATGGTCTCATGTACATGTCACCTTCGTTTTCATAAACTTCCAGTTTAACCTCAGGAAAGGCCACTGGTGGTGCTGGTGATATAGTTGCAAGAACAAAATACAGATTTCACTGTCCTGCATTTGTCAGCCAATCATCCTCAGGGCTATGTTACACTCTCACAAAAGTGGTGCTGCATACTCACCTTCCAAAGGAGAGCAAAGAGCTAGCAGCTTCATTAGTCAATGTTGCCACTGAAAATAAAGTGTGCTTTGTGTACTAAGGGTTGGCACTAAGGACAAGACAAAGAGAACAACTACTAAAAATGCGTTTCAAGGATCTCTCACTGTGAATGAAAACTCTTTTGTCTCTAAGGATACTCCACCGTGGGACTGCACAGCCTGAATCCAGGTAAGGCTTTTTGGCACAGGGTACATCCTGAGAGAGATCACAACATAGTTTTCTTCCTTACCTGCTAAATATAAGGTGTCTATCAAAGCAGCCACCATCCACCCCTCCGTACTTCGGGAAGGCCGCCCTGCGGGTCAGCCGTGAGGTAAAGTTAGTGGGCGCCTGGCGCCTCTGTTTTGGCTCAGGACACTGGTGGGGAGTAAAGAGAGAGAAAGGGGGACAGGTGGCAACAGGGTTCTTGCAGCGGGCGTGCTGCTCCCTAAGGTACTCTGTGATTATACTGTCCAGCGTGGGTGGGGAAGGAAGGTGTCTGTCCAGCTGCTTTTTGATAGCTGGGCTCTGGCTGTAGGCGCCATGGTCCGATTTTTGTCGCAACACTCTGATTTTCCTGCCGTTGCAGGGAGACGGCCTCTCCCTGACAAAGCTAATCCTGCCAATCAGAGGAGAGTTGCTGGCGTAAGAAGGGCCTGGAAGGGCAGGTGGACCTTGGGATGCAGACGGTCTTGCCTGAGCATGGACAGAGGTGGCAGTGGAACCTACAGCAGTGTGGCTACTCAAACGGGCCGAGATGCCGTTAGCTATGCGAGGAGTGCGAGGCAGAGTCACCGGAGAGGCAGCGGCTGCGACAGGGGTGAAGGCAGAAGAGTGAGATGCTGCAGTCATGGGCAGGTCAGCCTCTTTCGTAAGGACAGACGCCGTTTCCCCGAGGCCCTTAGAGATGAGGTGGTTCCGAATCAGCAGCAGCAGCTCCTTCTCAGGAAAAGTGATCCTCGACTGGGCCACCACGTCGGCCTTCTGCAGGCGCGCCAGCGAGACGTCGGTGCCGATGAGCAGGGGCTTCCCCGAGACGCGCTCAATGAGCTCGGCAGCGTACTTGCAGAACTTGACGTGCTCGCTGCGCTTGTCCTGCAGCACCGGCTCCTTCATCAGCTGCTGGATCTGGCAGCTGCTGAACAGGGGCAGCTTGCTGATGATCTGCCGGACGGTGCTGCTGCGCGACAGCCCCACCAGGGCTTTGCAGGCCAGGGCCCGGATCTGATCCGCGTCAGTGATCGGCATCTTCACGGACAGCAGCGACAGCAGCACCTTGATGCCATTGTTGGACTGCACCACATTCCACATCTTGGCCAACGTGTGCTCGCTGCTCTTGGGGGCCTGAGGAAGCTTTCGACGAGGAGTCCCAGAGATGAACTTCCCGATGCTGGAGATCCGGTTATCTGGGCCACATACGCAATTGATGATGATCTGAAGGGCTGATTTTTGAATCTCAGCATCATGGATGAAAAACTCACCCTCAGCAACTCCAAGGATGATACTAATACCTAGTGAGGGAAATAAATAATTTCTTTATTACTCTAACATGTATCTTACACAAGTTGATCAGACAAGTAAGGGAGTCTTCCAACAAATTTGAAGAAAATAGGTACTTCCCTTAATTCCAGAAATTCCCTAAGTTCTGCTAACTAGTCTAAGACATACTCTTCTACCTCCCTAGCAAAATATTCTCCTGCCCTGCTGGCCCTCCACCTCATCACCAATAGGTAGTGTCACACAATCTCTCAGATGTGGGGATCAAGCACAGCCCAGTATCTGGACAGAGCAAGATGCACAGACATGCTCTGATTCCTACTGCACAGAGCAACTCTTGTACAAGCACCAACAAAGTAAACACTAAGAGGAAGGAAGGGGACCAAGTCATTGAGGACAAAATAATCATATCACAATTTCCAAAAGGAATCGGGCAAAAAAGAAACTTTAGGGTGACTATTTTCCCCCACAGAATTCCTGTTAGTTTCACATCTGCTTCAAAATATCAAAACCCTCACAGAATTGGTGTTTGCCTAGAGACGTTTTGTGGAAAAGGAATTGTCTTTTGCCTGTATCAAGTATTCTGCCTGCCTTTATTTTCATTTTCTTATAAAGAAAAGCGAGGCTCCAGTTAAAGCAGAAGCCTTGGATCTGATCCAGGTACATCTCACTCATTTATATGCTGAACCTGGAGGTAACCAGTTAGAGTGTAATTCATACAGCAATAATTGTTCCTCTCCCTTACTCTCAGATGCCATATCCTCAGGAGACCTAAATTTCTGACAAACTGAGGAAACCTAATAGTCCATTACAAAAATATATTTGCCTCCACCTGTATTTAATGAGCTCTTGAAAACAAGTGCAAGAGAAAGACCTGCCTCTAAATTTGTAACCCAACCACAGTGCTAATCATGACACAGTTTTAACCACAGTGCACTCTCCCATTTATTTGCATCCTTGACAGTAACTCTGAGTACATTAATTACTTTAACCCTTGTCTCACTGTAGGTGAGGAACAGCCAGCCAAAACCCATGTAGCAGGAGACAACTGATAAATGTCTAAGTCATTAGGACCATATTCTGCTTACCCACAGTGGAAACAGTAGACCCAGCTTCATCTAACACATCCACAGGTTCTGCCAGTTGCAACTGGATTTTAGGTACTACAGTCAGGATGGCCAGTACATCCAAAGCATATCGTACTGTGTCATTCCTGGAAGACAGCAACAGAAGGACTTCTTAGAATTGCATGTACAGAGTTGTTTCAATAACATAAAATAGTATTCAATTTACTCTACTCCAAGAAATGGAAGTAAATCAGTCACATCTGCTGCATTTGGTGGTGCTGTAAATCAGTCACATCTGCTGCATTTGGTGGTGCTTTTTGATTTTAGAATGAAAAGGGCTGGTCTCCATAGAAGGCAGTGCTCACATGCACACCACTGCCTGCAGTCTGCCAGCATTTATCCCACATGGCTCACAGGCTCCTAAAAGCATAGTAATTCTGTATTTATAAAAATAACAATGTTAGGACTTACTAAAGAAACCATTCTAAATTAAGCTGCTAATTTTAATCTAACTCTACATCTTAGCTGGGAAACACTGCTATCCAAAATACTCTGTCACCAGTTAACTAGGAAGGAAGTTTTTCTGAAGTCAAGGGAAACTGTTCAGCAGTAAACCAGACAATTGATAGTCAAAAAGACACCAACTTAGGCCCCAGCTTAAGAAAGATGCGGGTGTGTGGAAGGTGAAAAGGGATGTTCAGCAAGAGGAGAGAGAGCAGAAAAACGCAAAACAGAAGAGATTTTTAACCTGTTTGGAAAGGTAGGAGTTAACCCAGATAGCAATTAGGAAACAGCTGCAGAAGGAAAGAAACAGGAGAACACAAGCTACCCAGGCAGGAGAGTGCAACCTGAGAGTGGGAGGGAGGCAGGGAACTGCAGAAGCAAAACAGATTTCAAAGGCTTTCCATTTAAGTTAGGAAGGAGCTTCTGTAGGCAGCAGAAGGGAGGGAGTCCTGGCCCACCTCATCCCAGGATTAAGATATGTTTTGATTTCACCCTCTTCTTGGATCTCTTAACAAAAAAGGTAAACAAATTTTGAGACAGATAGAAAGAGGCACAGAACTGTGATGAAGCTTTTCTGAGAAATCAGTGTCATACTAATCAAAGGCCTGAGGGATTTTGGCTCTTCAGAAATTTCTTGACATCCCTCCCTCTACCTTAAAATTTTAGTCCTGCTTTCCCCAGAGTTAGCTTTGATAAGCATTGTGTGGCCACAGCACAGGCCCTAAGAGGGCTAACCAGCACGTGCCCGTTTTAAACACTATCAGGGTAGAAAATCTGGAAATGTCATGTCCTGCCCAAGAGTCACAAGTGCTGCACTCAGAGCACCACAGCAAACAGCTTACCTTGCATAGTATGTCTTCCAGTTGCAGGCAATGGAAATGAGCTGAAGCATGAGCTGGACACAAGACAGCTTGAGAAAAACCTCTGCTGGCTCCCAGTAAAGCTGTGCTGGACCATACTCAATCAGGAACTCCATCATCTCCACAATCTGCTCATGAGTATAGGAGCAGGCCTGCACGGTCCAAGGGACACCATTAGATCACAAGGGTTACAAACTTGCACATCAAATCCCTCACTGCTGGGATTTAACTGAAAACTGCATCTATAAGATTAGACTACTCTGTGTCTTGCAGATTAAGTATTTACTTTCTGGTTTATTCCCCAGTTATAAAAGAATACAGCAACTGTCACTATAATACACAATAATAAGCTTAAGGATAATATCCTTTAAGTTTCTTTACAGTCTCAGAAAGCTAAGGCAAATTTAGGAAGAAATGTTACATTAAATTAAAATTCTACTCTGCTTTTAAGCCACTAATCTAGTAGTTACTACACCATCATTCAATATACATTTATGCTAAAATACTAAAAAGGTTGCTAAAAATATTCAATTACAGTTTCTAAGTTTTGACTACAAAGCATACTGAATTTTAAAAAATTCCTAGGAAGTCTGCCTTTCAATATTTTTAATTACAAGAGAAAGCAACATTTTATATACAGTTTTTAGTTACTGAAAATCAGTGATTTCTGCAGAAGCAAAAACTCCCTTATATTTTCTTACTTGAGTTCCTCCAGAAAAATCATCATAAATTAAATAAGAAACCACAGGTGAATGTACTTTCTCAAAACCAGCAGCCCTAAAATCCAGTTTTAGAAAAACCTAACAAACAAACCCCAAACAAATCAATAAAACTAGCTTTGCAAGGAGAAATCAGGAAAAAATAATCATGACCAAGACTATGATTATTATCTATCTGGATCTCACAGGTCATTTCTAAAAACAGTGGTGTTCAAAAGACATTTCAGTTATCATTATCAAATTAAAGTTATTTCTGAGTTTTTCAGCATTAAGGACCTTTATACATATACAAATTTTGTCCTTTCAGAGATTCACAGCACAGAAAATACAAATATCAAATACAAACAAATATTTGACATTTGTATCAAACACAAGTATCAAAAACAACTTGCCTTTGAGTTTTTGAGAGATGGAAAGGGAACCACAGCACATGAGCAGGAGCCTTAATTAAATGTAATTCAGACAAACCTCAAGGGCTCCTCTGTATTTCCCTATTACAGTGCCACTCCACACGACAGGAAAAGGTACAAATGAAACAACTGCAGCCTGCCTAGTTATAGCACTGGCTTCAAAGGGTATCTGCACACATCTGCAGCTTGGATTCAACCGAGCAATGCAACGACCTGGTGAAAAGCCTGCAATGTGCTCCTCACCTTGTAGGGGGGCTGTGGGTGGACCAGGATGCCGCCCTCGGTGCGCTGCAGCGACTGCTTCACCTGCTCCAGTTTGATGGCAAGGTGAGCCTCGAAGTAGCGGCGCAGCGCCATGCAGGTGTGCTTCCCCGTCTGCCGGCTGGCAAAGATCTCATCATCACTCAGCAGGGCTCCTTGGTCTTCCAGGTTTAAGATCTCCAGAGTGCTTATCTTCAGAAAGAAGTTGGATATGGGAAAAAAAGTTTCATCAGCTCAGTCTTTGGGAAAAAAAAGCATCCACAACTCTCAGCTGCTCTCGCACCAAACCCTAACACTGCCTTTGCTGTATGGGACATAGAAGCACACTGAGAGCTGACAAAGGCTGTCTGAACAGAAAAGGGTCTCTGTGTGGGTAACCAGCCAAAACTGAACTATGCTCTCTCCTTCACTATCTATGAAGACAGAAACTACAGAATCACAGAATGAACTAGGGTTGGAAAAGACCTTTGAGATCATCAACTCCAACCTATAACCTAACACCTCCTCATCAACTAAACCATGGCACTGAGTGCCACGTCCAGTCTTTTTTTAAACATGTCCAGGGACATGTTTTCCCTTCCTGAGCAGACAATTGCAGTGCCCAATCACTCTGTCACAATGAATTTTTTTCTGATGTCCAACCTAAACGTCCCCTGGCACAGCTTAAGACTGTGTCCTCTCATTCTTGCAGTCATTGCCTGGGAGATAAGACCAACCCCCACCTGATTAGGTAGTTGTAGAGAGCGACAAGGCCCCCCTGAGCCTCTTTTTTTCCAGGCTAAAGAAGTTATATCAGTGTAGGTCTGGAGGCAGTGTTGTGCTCAGTACTCTTAGGCATAACATGGCACCACAGTGTGCTGGCACCCTGCAGCACTAATGTCCCTGAGCTAGACACAGCCCATGCTGCAGGAGTGCACAGCAACACCCTGCAGGCATTGCAGCTTTTCTACACAAACAGTGTCTTGAACTTGTGCCCAGAAGGTACCACAGTTCCTGCAGCACACACAGCCATTCCTCTCCAGGAACAAAGCTGCGTTTATCCATACCCAACAGGGTGCACATCTATGTGGAGTGGCAAGAAACATCTGGACTACCACTAAGCCACCACTGTTTGAATGAGTATTGCTTAACCCAGGAGTTGCACCAAAAAAGCTCCCAAAGGGTATAAAGTCTCTAGACAATAATCATAATAATAAAATAAAGATAAAAGGATGTATGCAAGTGTTGCTTAGAAAACTCAACCCACCCCTCCATCTTATGGGAACTAAGGAGGAAGAACCCTAAATAAAACCAAACAAAAGAACAAAACTCTACACAGTTGCATTTACAGGGTGCAAAACCAGCCACTAAACCCCTGCTTCCTAAAAAGTCACAGCCCTTACCAGGTTCACCAGACGCCTCAGCCCATCGTGCCTATCAAAGAGCTCCAGGACAGCACGGAAGGAGAAGCAGATGGAGAAGAACATGGTGGCATGGCAGCAGCCCGAGGCGTGGGAGCACTCCATCAGCCACAAGGTGTAGTTCACCACATCTGAAAGCACATTATGGGGGTGCATGCACACCTAGAAAGCAAAAGAACATTCTTGGTGAAGACTTCAAACAGATTGCTTAAAAGATTTGGTCCAAGGAGAATGAAGAGTCCGAGAAGCAGAGGACAAGTATCAGCTATTCTCAGCTTGACTTTGGACATCTGAGATGTGAAATAAGAAGTCCCATTTCCAGACCAGTAAAAAAAGCTGCTGACTAATAAAGACTAACAAAGAGTATGATTTGGCAATGTAGGACTAGAAACTGGTCCATTCCCAGAGTAAAGCACAATTAATACAGCAGCCCTAGTGTAGTATAATTCCAGAGTCCTCCTCCATGCCATTTCCACATATCCAAAGAATGCTTTGCTAGAGGCTGACAAATTTCCACTGAAGAAACACAAATTCTGCTCAGTGAAACCAAGTACCACATGCTATGTTGAGGTACTAGCAAACTCTGGCAGCACTAGGGGAATTGCAAGGATTGTCAAATCCAAGTCTAAAGCCTGACTTTTCTCTGGAAACAGACAACTGAGCTGGTCTCCTGTTCTCAGGCCACGCCTCCAAGATGTGCAGACCATGCACTCAGAACTGCACCTTTGCATTGGCCTATTTACTTCTACTGAGAAGGAACTGGGAACCCTCTGTCAGGGTCAGTGACAAGAGGAACTGAAGTGCTGGCACCAGCTGCTGTGTGCCAAGTTAGCAGAGTTTTCCATCCCTTCTCTGCTGGTGTTGGATACACTCAAAGAATGCAGTGCTACCAGCTTCAGACCTGAGGTCTGGCATGGACTACTTGACAAGTGACTGTACCCTGAAGCTGGCTTCCTCTGAAATCCAAAATGTACCACAGACACCTGCTCTACCTGGTATCTGAACATATTGGGGATAACATCTGGCAGAACATCTGGAGCCATGCATGAGGAAAAAACAATCTCAGGTGTAGTAGTCCATTGGAACAGACAGGAAAAGAAAGGCAAATGAGAATGAAGGAGTTTCTTGTTGGGATTTTTTGAGGGAAAGAGGGAAGAATAGAATGAAAAGGGTGATTAAAGTATTAAGACAAGGGTGACAAGATCTTCAGTTAATTCCCTAGGAACTGAAATCCACACCCTTAAAACAAAACACTTATTCATATACACACCTTGAACAATACACTATTATTCATATACTTCCTGATGCCTCTGCATATATCAATTAATCATCCATAAAAACTTGCTTTTAATCTTAGAAGATGCTTATTCACTGTTTGAACACAGGTAGAAACACTGGGAAATTATGGCAATGACTGCAGTTACAGTACAAGAACAACTCTTACCCTCTCCATAGCATCTTGATTGTACGACAAGTAATACAAGCACATGGACACTCCTGTGGCTGCCATGGAAGGACGAGGAATCTCCAGCAACTTTTGCACTCCTCCATGAGCAACAAACTCTGTAGCAAACTTGTTGTGCAGCAGCAATGATGCCAAATGCTAAGGAATCATAAAAGCAGATTAGACTAGGATTCTTGAAACATCAATTCCATCCCCATCCCATAGAAAAACAGACAGCAGAAAAAGTAACTGCTCTGTGCACCTCACTTCCTCCTCCCATTACATTTAATCCAGACTGCAGCATTTATCCCAATAACAAAACCAGAAGAGGCACTACCATTTTTTTTACACATCTTGCAAAAAAAATACAAGAAAAGCAGAGCAACTCAGAAATTATCCAACAGACCACCTTAAGGTCTTTCTATTGTCTTCAAATTCATTCACTTTCTATTATCACTACTAACTATTTAAATTTCATTATATTTTGATTATGACATATTGCTGACAGAAGAATTTTACAAAAAGAGGTGTAAAGGCAATTAAAGGGAAGCCTGCAGCTGCACTGAAGTGTACTGCACACTGCTTTTCTGTATTACCTACACCTTAAGAGGAAACAGTAACAGCCACTGTACACCCCACTCTACTCCCAACTGAAGCAACCTAAGCTAATGTAGGAACACTGCTCCTTCAAAATAAATTCTCAGGCAAATGAGAAAGATACAGAGAGGAAGACTCTGGAGGATCAGAGGCAGAGAAGTTATTGTGAAAGAGGGAAAGAATGTACAGAAAAGTTTAACTTGTGCTGCTGCACTGCAGGTTTGGCTTGAATAAGGTTATTTTGTGTGGCTTTTTACCTTGGGGAGGTAACCTTAAAGACTATTCACACAAAACTAGTATTTAAACCACAGAGATCAGAGATGTCATGCTGGGGCTTCTGGGAGTAAGATATTTATGCTCCTTACCCCTCACAAGTGTCCATTGAGATGGCAGGCAGTGGAATAACTCAGGAATGCCATCTAAGGGCAGCAGGAACAATCATTTGACATAAAAAGAATTTTTTATCATCTTCAAATAGGTAGATGAAAGGTGAACTTAATGGCCCTTCCTGCACAATTAAGATCTTTTTATTCCCTCCTTCCTTTCCTGTTTTTTTCATTTTAAGTGCTTGACACTTCAAAAACCAAAACTGCAATGCATTCAGCTCGAGTGAAAACCACTTCCAATCCCAGGGAATGCTGCAAGACGTCAGCCTAAAGAAGATGAGCACTTGCCTTTGACACAAAGCAAGCATATATTACATGTTTTCACAATGTTTATGGTATATTTTATATATTTTGCAAGTAACTTACCTTAAGGGCTTCAAAAGTGAGCAGCACATCGTTGGTTCGCTTCAAATCAATGTAGTACATCATCAGCTCCCTTGATCCCAGTTGCATAAAGATGGGTAGCAGCTGAGAAAACAAAAATGGGACACTAGCTGAATGTTTCATGGGAATTACAAGGTCTCTTTTGGTTTATACTCTCTCAAGCCCCCAGTTTTCCCCTATTAGCAGATACCTGTTATGAGAGGTCAGAGGTAACCAGCTCCATCCATAGGAAGCAATAAAGGTTAACAGACCTCTTGTAATACATCTGCTGACTGCAGCAAGGTGCATGGCAGCTGCCACACGGAAATCTTAAGACTCTCCTCCAAGTGCGGCTATGGAAGTCCACACAGATAGCACCCTGGAGAGAGGCTCCACCTTCCATCTGTGCAAAGACAACTACCCAACAACTGAACAGAAAAAACAGGAGAGCAGGGCAACAGACCAAAACCCTTTGCATCATTCTTTGTAACACCTTTATGCTAGTAATTCCTGTTTTTATAGCCTATTATTCCTGGCATATGAAGCAATCCAGGCTGCATGCAGGGTGTTAGGGGGTAATGGTTTCACTGGCTCTCACAGAAACAAGGCACACATGTGCACACACAACATCTACCACAAAGCAAAATTGTGTTGCTTTGTTCTGTTACTAATTAAGGTAAACCACAAAAAAAAATAAAATAAAGGAGACACTCTTTGGTAATAATGTGACACAGTCACATTATTTTGTCATTTAAGTACTACCAGTTATCAAAAGCATCTGCATAACATGGGCCCTGCCACTTCTCCTCAGAACTACTACAGAGGTAACACAAACCACTTCATTTAGAATTTCAAGTTGATTATTTCCTCAGACTTTTACTTGCAGGACTCTATTATATCCACCACAGGAAACAGGAAATGTCTGCATTTCAAACCGAGCTTCCATGTACCAAATTTAGCAGGAACATGGGACAAAATCCCCAGGGCCATGCTCCAACTTCCAGACCACACATCTGCTAGGCTCAGGTTTGAGTATTACCCACCAAGTAATATTCAAACTAATGACTTCATTAGTTTAGAAGTCATCAACAACTCAGGAAAAGTTACCAGTCTCAATCATGACAAGAAATATCAGAGCGTGATAGAGCAGTTCTGCCAATTTCCCCCCACAGTTCCACTCAGCTTTGTACAGAGAATTAGAGCACCGAGTGCTTCCTCCCACCTTCATATGCTCACCTCCTGGTACTCCCCCAGGGGAGTCAGGTACTGAAGAATCAGCCTCTGCTCTATGGCAGGAGTCAAGGGGTAAAGCGTGTAATTAGTGCCAATCACCCACGGGGACATTTCTGACCAGCTGCTGTTGGACAGTTCCACAAACATCCGCTCTGGTTCCGAGGAGGAGAAGCCCAGCTTCTGCTTGGCCTTGCGGAAGCCGTCTCTTTCGTGCTGTTTCCCTGATTTGCTTCTTCTCAGTCCCCCATCATCCAGCTTTGTAGCAGAGTTTACTCTGCTACTGGTCTTATGACTTGAATCGAGATGAAAGGAGATCTCCATATCAGCAGAAACTTCTTCTTGCTCTCCATCTACTGTCATCTCCCCATAATCCATATCCACAGCCTCTTCATCGAGGGGCAGCAGAGGATCTGAGGGCACTTTCCGAGGACTGGGGCGCTTGTTTTCCTGTTTTGTGGTCATTTCAGTGACCTGCAACTCTCGTAGCCGACGGAGCACCAGAGCCACCTGTTTCAGAAAAGCAGCACTCATGAGAATACACTCCTTGCTTTGATCATGCAACTCACCTCAGCCATATTTTTTGTTCTCATCATATAACCCCTCTACAGCATACAGTGCTGAGTATGCTGTGGTGTACATTTGCCCAGAGAAATAACTTCAAAGTGACTGAGAGAACTCAAATCCATTTTGCTACAGCAACTCTCATTCTAAAATACCAGCACCATGTCTCCCATGTGAGAAGGAAGTGGCTGGAAAGGCATTAGGAACAGATGAGCTATAGTGGTGCTAACAGAACCACACATCAGTTTGCAGCATCCTTCCACCATCTCTGCCCTGCCTGAAATAAAGGCATCATTCCCTTTGGAAGCAGCAGCTTTGGTAAACTGCAGTTCCACAAAACCAAAGGTCATGCTTTTACTTTTAATGTTTAGAAGAGAAGTCATAGCTGTCCATGTTGACTCACCTTTCATTTTAAAACCTCTGTCTGGTGGGCAAACCACAATGTGCAACAGTTACAGATGTAGAGCTTCTGAAAGTTGTTCTTTAAGGAAACTATGAACATGAGTCTTATTAAAAGGTAAAGTACTTGACTTCTTAGGTTTCCATTGGCATTTGGAATACAACTGCTTTTAACAGACTATCAGGCTGCATGCTCCAACTCAGGCAGGAAAGGATGGAAACCATGACCCTTACAGATAGTACTACAACACTGTAAGACTCATATATTAACCCGTGAATGTGAGCTCCCCATATATGAAAATTATAAAAAGGTAACTGCACTCCACAAAGGGAAAGTGATTGAGAGATCATTACCAACTGGGAGTTCTCATCCCTGTAATTTGCAGCAATGTCCTGGTTTTCCATAGCTCCTCCCAACAGTCCTGTTGCATAGGTCCTTAGTGGCTGATCAGCCTCTCGTGCCCATTTAAAGAGATTCTCAACTATGCCTTCCTAGAAGGGAGAAAACAAGAAACCAGTTCTAACAGTTACATTTAATCTTTAACTTCTCAGTTCCAGTGAAAGCATCTGTTGGGAAGAATTTTCTCTTACTGCAGTAATGACCAGGCTGGATTTCCTACCAAGCATGGAATGAATGAAAAATACTGCTGCAACAACAACAAAAAAAAAACAAACTAAATCTTTAAGTTGTGTGAAACTATGCCCAGGCATCAGATACCTGGATCTGCACACCTGCAAAAAGAGGCCAGTCAAGGTCCTTCCTAGGAGGCAGCAAAACACTACAGATATGAATTAGTCCAAACGAACAAGCCCAGAGTTCTGGTCAGTTTCACTAATCAAAATCTCCAGCAATTGAGCAAATTTCAAATAAGCTGTGTTGAACCTATATCAAATAAAATGAAATTTGGCCAAATTTAAAACAGACAATTAGAAAGACAACGGTTTAGAATGAAAGATCAATTTTTTTCCTCTAAATTGCCACTCAATTCAGAAACATCAACAACAATTATCATGACAGAAATCTTGCACATAATTTGAATTACAGGTACAATACGATAGAAGATGAGTGAAAACTAATAATGAAGAGACACATTTTAACAGGAACTCTCAGCTCACAGATTTTTATTGCCTGTTACATACTTAAAGACAATTGCATTATTATTTCAATGCTCTTATGTAATCAAAAAAAAAAAAAAAAAGTTTAACTGATGGGCTGTGAAATCCCTTGGTCGCTAGAGGGCCTCTCTGTGACAAGAAAAACACCCTCTTCCCAAAGCCTCCTATTTACAGGAGCCCTAAGTGCCAGAACAGAGCTCTAGATATTATCAAGTCAAAAGGAAAAAAGTCCCTAAGTGCAAAACTTAATTTCATTTCAGTTTACAGAGAACTTTTGTCTCTGGAAAGAGATAGCTATATTCTCCTTAAATGGGGAATTACTGTTTTGGTTTTAAATTGTTTTTGATCAAGGCTTCCCAGCCTCAGCTTTTGGACAGATCACAAAGAGCTCAAATTAAATTAAATCTTTCACAAAGGGAGCACATTATTTTCTTTTATCATGCTTTAGAATTCATCTGCATATTTCCAACAGTAGAGAAATTAATTTAGAACTTTCATATACAGCACTGCCTCATTTCCAAACTTCAGAAAAACATTAATTCTTACAGATGAGGAAACTGTGGCTTGAGTGAAATTCACTTTCTCCTCACTTTCCACTCTGTGTGCATTCCTTCAGAACAACTTATTTGGCAACATGTGAAGTCTGATTCAGCTGTCCAGATAATGCCCACAAAGCTTGTGGATTTTAGACTGCTTAGTTAAAGTATGACTTGCTTATCACTTAGCTCTAGGAAAGCTATTGCTCTGACAGAGCTGGGGATTACTGGGCAAGTCCTCCATGTTCTGCACAGCCTGCTCCATTCACAGGCCTATAAAGCAACAATTCCCAAAACATTACATTAAATTCCAGCTCCTCTGTTTCAATCAGTCACATCACACTTTAAAAAGCTATAAAATACCCAAGATTTGATTAATTGAACAAGCCAAGAGCAAAAAGCCCCAGACCATTAGTGAGACTGAACAGATTGGCTCTCAGACACACACAGGATTTCAATATGGCTTTTTACTGGCTTCTCCTTTGGGAAGTCTTGTTGGAGTACAAAATAAAGCAAGCTTAAACCCCAAGCTTTAGTGCAGGTGATACCTTTTCCTGGAAGACAACAGCTGTTTCCAGTCCCGGCATGATGTCCAGCAGAAGTCTGCAGGCAGCAGTGTTTAGTGGAGGTTCTCTGCTTGTCATCACATAAGCATTCACTAGCTGGAGAAGATCAGGAACAGCACAGGTTTGAAATTCAACTCTGACCAAACCCAGAGCAGTGAAAGCCTTACAGCTCCCACGGCAGAAAAATAATAAAGTAAGGAATGCCAATCTAAGCCCTGGATCTCAACATGACAGCCTTTAGCCTGCTCCCTCAGTGCCTTAGAAGTTGAAACTATTTCTCAGAGAAGCAGAGAGCCTCTAATCTGCTGTTCACTGACTAAATATCTATCTTGAACTGATCTGTTAAGACAAGAGCCTTGAAAAACTGTAACAGCAGAAACATTAAAAGATAACCAAAAAAATTAACATAAGAAATTGCACATTTTTAACTGCACATGTATTTCCTTATCACTTGCAGTTGAGAGAGAGAGAGAGACATGCAAGCAATCTGTCAGAATCCTTCCAGCAATGTGTACTGATATAGGTGCTTGCAGGCATGCAAAGGTAACAAAATTCTAGCTATTAAGTCATGTTAGAGTTTAGCAATGCAAGTGGAAAGGCAGACTCTTGCCTCCTGATTCTCTGCCTGAGTCCTCTAGAGCTGACATGCTCTTCTGTTCCTGCAGGCAGCCCAGTAGTTCCAAGCATTCAGAAACAAGGCACTGGAATTAGTGGTATTCATTTCCATTATAGAAAGAAATTGTATTTTTGGACTTGTATTAGAGAAGCCCCATTTTCTTTAAAGAGACTGAAAACAACTAATTCAGTCGCTGCTACACACATTCCAACAGCTCATGAACTCCCCTTTACCTGAGTCACTCTAACAGTGGCAAAAGAGTTGCTCTTAAACCCAACTTAAAAACCAGTATTATGGAAAAGAGAATTCTGATACCACTAAAATAAATATTAAACAAGTAGCAAGGTCAACCATCACAGAGGAAATAAAAGAAATAAGGTGGTGTGAAGAATTGACAGAGAAAGTTCTCAGAGCAAACCTACCGCATTCATGAAATCATCATTCTTGAAGAGTATCCTCAGTAAGTGGCCAAGCATGCACTCAGGGTCTGCCCGACCTGTGGGACAAACAGGAACACAGGAAAACACTCACCTTCCTACCTCAAGATGCCAACATTAGCACTGAACTGCTGCCTTCAAACTGCCTGTGGATGCTCTGGAGGCAGCACTACAGAGCACAACTTCCCAGTGCAAAGGCAGTATCAGACCTCGATCAGAGTTGGCACATTCAGTTTCCTTTTGAATATGAGCTACCAGGCAAGCACTGGGCACAGCTGGTGCTGCCAGGACACCTTACCTGGGTGTCGGTCATCAAACGGGTCAGGGTCCCCCTTGCGGTACTCTTCAGTCTCCTTCTCGATCAGCTCTGACATTCTGCAGCAGGAAGAGCACAAAGTGAGCAGCACTCACACTCCTGGAGCACAGCTCCTCACAGTCACAGATCTGTCAGAGCACTGCAAACCAGTCCATCAGCTTTCACCAGTGTTCAGTGCCACCAGGGGATTTCTGACTGGCCACAACAGGGGGGGAGAAAACACTGGCCTCTACTATCTCATCTCATTTTTAGCTCCAAGATGCACTGAACCCATAGTGACACCCCAGAGATGCATAAACTTTGACACTCTGAAGGGCCAACACCTTTTATTTACTCCTTGTGGTGTTCTACACACAGTGTAGAGAACTAGAGTCAATAAAGGGCTTGAGCAGTACCTTCTTACCACCACAGTGTCTTTGTTTTGCAGCAGAGCAAGTCCTGAACAGGTAACTTATTCCTCCCCTTTGCTCAGTCTGTGCAGGGGCAGCTGTTCAAATTGTCTGCACAGTTTTTTGTTATTCGGCACATTAAATTTCAATTGTGTTGTAGAATTAAATATATATATATATAAATATTTAATAAATATTAAATACTTATATTAAGTGCTGTGTAACCTCTATTCAGTTATCAACTTTTTACCATGTGTGAACTACCACCACGGATAAGACAAGGAGAAACTCAGCCAGCTCCCTGTTCACAGATCCTCCAAATACATTAAATGCTCCTCTCTATCAAAAAAATAAAATTGAGTTGTTTTGGTGCTATGCCCTCCCCTAAACTTAGAAGCAGTCTCAGCAGGCATAAGAAATCCTATGCTCTAACTCATTTAGAATGAGCAGTAAGAGAATTAATTATTATTTTTATTTACACAAAATCAGGAAGAAAAAAAATTATCTCATGGTCAAGCAATAAATAATTCCATAGTCTTTCATTGTCCTTCTCTATGTAGTGTCACAGCAAAAACATATGCAGTTTGAGGTGAAATAAAGAGCACTCAATTCAATTGAAAAAACATTAGGAAATTAAATCTCATTTCCTTGGTATAAAACATGATTCCTTCCCCTCTACAGAGGTTCAGAGTGGGAGGCAGCATCTATGTGCAGCACAGCATTTTAAAACAAGGTCTTAATACCTCACAGTAGTTATCTAGGCAGAGTTTATCACAGGGGAGGGAAAACTGCTGGAAGGCTGCAGTAATCCCTGGAAAAATATTTGTCTTTCACAGAGGATTTCCCTTACAGAACACTGCTGACTTCTACTCCGTGCCTGTTACTTTCCAGAAAATACCCTGTGTTCCCAGGCATGACTAGAGGCAAAAATGTACTTAGTCCTGCCTCTGTGAGCTACACTCAGTGTGACAGAGGATGACTCCTGCCAGATTCCAGGAACAGCAAATTAGCTCATTGGGAATGAGCAGAAAACTTTCTTGCTTGCCTTTGATCTAACAATTATCTTTCAACAAGCTGTTGATCTTGTGGGGTTCCAATATTTACTTTTATAAGCCTGATTGTGAAAGGATGCAAATTGTGTCCCTTGTTAATAATAGGTGGCACAGCTTGAGCTCTCAAGAAATTCTGGCAGAAGCAAGTCTCTTAAATACTCCACTGCCAGCTCCTCATTTTTTTCCATGAGAACTAATAGCTTGAGGGATGTCTGCTGACAGAAAACTCAGACAAATGGGGAGCTGGGAAGCAGCACTCTTGCCTTGTCAGGTCTTTGGAGGTGATAATTAGCATTTTGGTGAGGTGCCAGAAAGGACAGACAAGCAGCATGGAAAGTGAGCACAACACTCTGGCCAGTGCATCCTGTCTGGGTAGGCAGCCAAACAGCGAGCCAGCTCCCAGTGCTTCCAGGGACAACAACACTATCACAGGCTCAAAGAAAGACAAATGTGAATCACTAATTATGGAGGGGTTTGAGACAATTATTCACAACTATTTGACCAAAATTAGAAAGAAAGAAAAAAAAAAAAACAAAAAACAAAAAAACCCACACAAACATTGCCTCTTTGAAATTTATTTTCAATAAACAAAAAAGGAGAAAAATCAAGCTTGCTTACAATACCCTTCTTTTAACTAACACATACAAAGGTGGTTTGTGACTTGACTTAGATAAATCTATCTAGATCCAACAGCTTTGTCAATTCTCAATTGAAGCAACTGAGTGTCAAATAACTACCAAAGCTCATTTCAGCCTTCTAACATAGGCACCTGGTATACAGGGCTGTAACAAAACACAATTCACAAAACCACAGAACTTTTATTCAAGTTTCAAGATTTCCTTCATTCACTTGGCATTATACTGGTTCAGCAGCCACTTCCAAGTCTGCAGACAAGATGTAGGATTTACACTGAGCCTTTTACTTCTAATTTTTTTCTCTTCACAACTGTGTTTGGAAAGTTAGTCAGATCCTCATTTCCACTTGCCACAAACTGAGCTCACCTTGGGAGCAGGGGTATATAGAAAAGTTTGTCAACTTTGCAAGGCCCCCAGTGATCTAGATGGAACAACAAAGCCATCCTAATCCTGCTTTGTGTCATCACCTGGCATTAATGACCAACTTGAGCCTTTACAGCAGATTGCAACAGCATAAGGTGCTCTAGGATCCCACACCACAATACAGCTGGTTTGTGGAGATGAAGTTACAATGTTAAACTGCTGATGTATTCCCTTGATGAAAGAGGCTCCTGGGACACAATAAATTATCTGAGTCTCACGATTTGCCTGATTGGTTGAACATGACTTGCATCCAGTCTATGAAGTAAGAGTATTACAGGATCATTTCAATTTACAATAGTTTTGAAAACCATGTATATTACATATCTGTTTTTTGCTGATAGGCTTTCCAAGCAATTTCTTCAGTTCATACCTTCTAACACTCAAGTGTTTGTAAATCCAGCTTTTTGGAAGGGACAGCTCAGCTGTGGTCTGTAACTGGTGCCATAACTGCTGCTGTCCTTGTCCTGTTACTGCACTCCCACCTGTGCTGCCTCAGCATCACATTCAACAGACTCCCATCCACACAGGGAAGTTTTCTTTCATTGAGCTCACAAGGAGGAAGGAAGTATAGAAATATCACTCACCAACAAGTATGACCACAGCTCCCTCTGCCCTTAGACCAAACCAATATGCAAGGGCATTTCTCTGCCTCAGGACATTGGCACTGCAAGCTCCAATTGGTGAGGATTCCTCAGGAGCATCTCAACCAGCAACTCTAACATGGCTCTCATTGATAACTGAAGCACTGTAAATCTAATTTCTGATTTTAACTTCTGGTGAAATCCCCATTCTACCTTAAATAAATCTGTACTATCTCCACTAAAGCAAAAATACCCAATCCTTCACCATTCATAACCACTCTGCCTGCTGCACAGAAACCTTGAGAACCAACAAAGTTATCAGACCTATCTGAGCATAAATAATATAGGGAGCTCCAGGAGCTGAGAGGGAGCAAGAAGTGCCAGACTGCTAAAAGCACAAAAAAATACATGTTTAGCTCAAATGTCTTTAAATTTCTTAGAATACAGTAAATTTCTGGTTATGCCTACAAGAAAAAGCCTCGAAATAGCACAGGTTTCCTTCAGACAATACACAGAGATACACCAAAACCTGTCTCATGATTTTCAAGACCCACTAATTTTCAAGTGTTTAGGGCTGGCTTTCTGTTGCTCATCTCCTCCTCCTATGCTGCTATTTTTAAAATGCAGTAAGAACAGCAAAGAAGTTGTGCCCGGTGGGTGAGGCACAGCACAGAACTGAGCAAAGAACCTCCACCAGATTCCTGTTACTTCCAGCCAGTGCCAGCTCCAGCTCTGTGCACTGACTTGTCTGACCCAACAAGGCAGAAGAGACACCTGGACTGCTCCTGAACTGCAGAGCAGCTGAGTACTGCACACATGAGGCAGGCCATGGATCTGCCAGCAGAGCTGTGAGGAACTGGGGGAATTTCTGCAAATCTCCCCTTAAAGTAGGAGTAACGTCAGTCTACCCAAATGAAGCCTGGCTTGGGAAAATGCAACTGATCATTCAAATCTTTCTTTTGTACTAGATACTGTCTTATAATTAATGGTGTTACCTAAACAGCCCCAAATAATTTACTGGTCCAGGGCATTTTTCTCCCAATACAATGCCAGTCGACCACCACACAGCTAAAAAAACAATCAGGTTTTAAAATTTCACTTTAAACATGCCCTATGAGCTTTGCTAATACCTTCTCAATATAGCTCCTCCTACTCACCCTACTCTCACCCTTTCACTTAATCTGATCAATGTTACTGCAATCTCAAACCCCTCACACCTTGCTTCCCATCTCAATGTTTTACAAGCTTCAAGTGAAGATACCAAAGTTATTTCAAACATTTAATGATGCTCCTGACTTCTACTATTTCAGAGTATTTGTAGAGACAGTGTAAGATGTCATTAAAAGTTTTTATTTAAATACCACACTAACAGTTCATTTTTTAGATCAAGAAAATGAATTGCAAGTTATCAGGTATGTGAACACCTCAAGAAAAAAGAAGGTAAAAGCTGCTGTCATGTAACTTCAGCCATTCAGCTTTAGGGATTTGCTCAATAGATCTTACCTGGTGAGAATAGGGACCATGTCTTGCCCGCTGCCATGTTCTTTCTCCCATTGCTCAAGCAAAGTAGTGAGCTCAGCCTTGGAGTCCACATGCCCAGATCCTGAAGTCATGGCTTAGCCTAAGGCAGAGGTAACAACCAGGAAAAAAAAAGGCATAAAAATGAGCAAGAAATCCCACTCTTCTACTGTATTCTTTGAAACAATCTAAATCAAATATTACAAGTCATTTGAAAGAGGCAAATAATACTCAGCAAAAAGGAGTGAGAAGACAAAGTGACAGAACAGTGCTTTCAAATGTGAAAGTTTCTTTCCGGTCCTCTGCCTGCAGACTAAAGAACATGTGCACCTCTGAACACAAGTCCTGACTGGTGCTCCCCAGCCCTGACCAGGCTGTCTGGAATGCACAGCTCACCACAGCTGTGTTCATGGCCTGAGCCTTTTAAAAGCTCTACCTCAACTCCAGGAGCAGACCTGAGTTACCCTTTGTGGTGATTTACTCAAGAACCGACCAAGCCAGGACAGCAAGATTGTGATCAGTGTCCTTATCCCAGTTTAATGCCCTGCAGGCAGTGGTGGAGGTGCCAACAACTCCTGGGGCCCACAGTGCTGAGGAGCAGAGGCAGCCCCCGAGTGCTGTGGGCAGTGGGAGCAGCCCCAGGGCAGCCGTGGTGGCAAAGAGCCGGGCACCGCTCCCCCAGGGCCTGCCCCGCTCCCCCAGGGCTCCCAAGAACAGCCAGTGGCTCCAGGAGGAAGGCAGGATGATCACAGGAGGGAGCACTGGAGCAATTACTGCAGCTTTATCAGCCTCTACTTGCATGACAGCAGCTGACAGAAGATTTATCTTCCCATCCTCAAAAGTGAGAAACTCCTACAGCACTGAGTGACTTGTTGAAGTATCATTTAATGAAGGGAACTATCACTGTAGGTTCTGTTTAAGCCTTTAAATTTCCAGGTGTCAGCTTTTGTCGATCTGATAAAAACCTACTAGAAATATTAACAGCTCAAACTAGAACAAAATCTGTCTCAAGATACTGCCATGCCCCTAGTTTCCAACCTGACAGACTGTGATTGCTGGGAAGAGTTGTAACTTCTAGAGGAAGGAATACCCAAACCCAATTTATAAACTGACTTGGTATTGGAGGTAGGGGAGAGCACACCAAGCAAAACAGATTTCTTCACATCCAAAAACACACAAAGATTTCCAGCATTTCATTAGCCACAACACAGTCAATATCCGTCTGTCATGAGAATTAATACCCATTTGTCATAACTGACCCAGAGAAAGAAGCTTTCAAACCAGTGTTAAATACACAAGTGTTTAAGACAGTGACATACACATCAGCTCCTAAAATACATGTTCAGGAGTCAGTCAAATGGCAGACTCTAAAGTCAGCCATAGCAGAGATTATACATGCATTTATAGCCCAAGTTGTCTCTGAAAAACATCCCCACAATTTAACTCTGTGCTGGACACTTCCAATTGGTTTAAAACTTCTCCTCACTCAGGGAATTGATGAACAATCCTACAGTTCTACCTCTTGTCTCATAGGTGCTTCTGAATTTAATGTACTGTGACTGGTTAGTTAAATGGGAAACATGAAGTTAAGAACACTGGCTGAAGATTAAACTGGCAGAAACTGCACAAAAGTTATCAGCCAAAGACTATGAAAAAATAAACCTGTGACTACAAGAACACCATTTTGTTAAGTACTATATGCAGTGGACATATGCTAACCAAAAAACCTACCTAAGCATGAAGAAAGATGATGTTTCCTAAATCACAAGTAATTATGATTTTATCTAGGGCACTCATTATTCATTCATTCATTTCAGAACTACATCAGGAAATTCAATGCAAATGCATAAATTGCTTAGGAAGAAACACTACCTAGATCCAGGCAAAACCATAATGAGATTGTACACACAGACACACTCCCAAAACACCTTCAAAAATAAAACTACTCCAAGCTCATTAAGTTCCATTTCCTTTTTCATTAACTGAACACCACTTGCCAGCAGCTCTTCAGAGCTTTTAAATATCACAGAAAAACATTCAGACAAATTCACTCTGCGCCTCAGAAACACAAGTGCTGTAATGGAATCCAATTCAACCATTTCATACATGCCCATCTTCATTCTGTGCTCAAGGGATACAGCAAAAAGGGCCCTGTGACCTCAGAGCTTGTACAGGGCCTGTGCAGGCTCCCCTGCAATCTGGAAAAACAATTTACTTCCTCTAACAACCCTCAACTGCTCCTGCTGGAAAACAGAAAAGGTTCAGCAATACCTGCAACAGGTCAACAAAGTCCCAGCCAGGAAGACCACAGGAACTGCTCACTGCCCTCTGGGACACCTTGTGCTATACCAAAATCAAGTGAAAAATCCCAGCTATCCCTAAAACTTGCCTCAATAAAGCTCATTATTGGTCTAAAGAACTGGTGCTGACATAGAGCTGTTTTCCTAAAATGAAATTATAACACAGAAATGCCACCCTTTCTACTGGGACACAGCAGTGACAATGAATGTCTTGCCAAGGCATCTCCTCTCTTCCACAGGCTTATCCCTTCCAATCTATTCAAATAAATACAATTTTTTTAGATGGCACCAGAGAAACTCCTACTGTGCTCACTTTTTTCAAGAATTCCACCTTAAATCAAAGTGAAGAGCTCTTCAGAGAAGACAAGAACATAAATGATATGAACCAACCTGTAACTGTCAGCAACACACCTGGCCTGATGGAGAGGAAACCTGGGAGAACAGCTCTGACTTTCACTACTTCCCTTTTCAGCACAAGTTGCTGAAAAAATTCAATCTTAAATTGCTCTCAAAGAACCAGCAAAACTGATCAGATTTAAATTGGGGGGTGGGGGGGAGGGGGCAGAGGGATGTAATTTTTTCCTCTTAATAAGTTTTGAAAATCACAGCCTACTACAGATTTCCAGATTTCACTTTGAACATCTACTAAGCTAAGGAATGGGAATTTTTCCCAAACAGTGCTATTGCCAAAATATATTTAGAATCACTATTAACAAAACATAAAGCACTTACTCAAAGAATTTGACTTTGAAAAACAAATATTTGCAGTCTCAACTACCTCGGTGGCCACTGCAAACCCAGATGTGGCTGCTTCAGTTTCAGCACACTGTGCTTGGTGCCCCTGGCACTGCTGTAATGGCAAACACTGCCTGGCATTGCTGTGCCACAGCAAAGGCTGCAATGCCAAACACTGCCTGGCATTGCTGTGCCACAGCAATGGCTGTAAAGCCAAACACTGCCTGGCATTGCTGTGCCACAGCAAAGGCTGCAATGCCAAACACTGCCTGGCATTGCTGTGCCACAGCAAAGGCTGCAATGCCAAACACTGCCTGGCATTGCTGCGCCACAGCAAAGGCTGTAAGCCAAACACTGCCTGGCATTGCTGTGCCACAGCAAAGGCTGTAATGGCAAACACTGCCTGGCATTGCTGTGCCACAGCAAAGGCTGCAATGCCAAACACTGCCTGGCATTGCTGCGCCACAGCAAAGGCTGTAAAGCCAAACACTGCCTGGCATTGCTGTGCCACAGCAAAGGCTGCAATGCCAAACACTGCCTGCCATTGCTGTGCCACAGCAAAGGCTGTAAAGCCAAACACTGCCTGGCATTGCTGTGCCACAGCAAAGGCTGCAATGGCAAACACTGCCTGGCATTGCTGTGCCACAGCAAAGGCTGCAATGGCAAACACTGCCTGGCATTGCTGTGCCACAGCAAAGGCTGCAATGGCAAACACTGCCTGGCATTGCTGTGCCACAGCAAAGGCTGTAAAGCCAAACACTGCCTGGCATTGCTGTGCCACAGCAAAGGCTGCAATGGCAAACACTGCCTGGCATTGCTGTGCCACAGCAAAGGCTGTAATGCCAAACACTGCCTGGCATTGCTGTGCCACAGCAAAGCCTTTATGGGCATTTCTCTCTTCTGAGCTTGGCTGTAAGAATGTGACATTAAAGGGAAACCCAGAGAGTACTGAGACACAGATTCCTCAAGGTGCTCTCATGTTTTTGAAACCTCTGACACTTGAGTGCTTGAGTCACCTTAGTGAGACACCTCTGAACAGCGAGGAAATCAAATTCCAGTGACCTCTAACCACAAACCTTGAGTGAGTGCCTGGAACAGCTGGAGCAATTCAGCTCCACCCTTCTGTCCACTGGAGCCTCACACCAACTGCAACACCACTACAGCTCATTCCCTGACTGATGCTGAGCTCAGGGAAAGGATCAGCAGGTTCTGAACACACTGACTCCCCGCAGATAAACATTTTAAAGCATGAAAACCTCTTAGTGAATATAAATATACTTGTAAAATCTGAAAACCAACAGTTTGGTTATTTGGGAAATGAACACAAAAGGCCTAACGTAGCAATTTAAATGCAAAATGAATGAGCTAGAATAAAACAAAAAAAAATCTCAAGCAAAAAAAAAATCTCCCAAAAACCACAATTTAGATCACTTTGTAGGAAGATGGCACATTTAAACTAATGTGCACGTTAAATGAATAGACAAAAATTACATGAAGATTTGTAATTCCACATGCACAAGGGCAACTCAAATTCTAATAACTGCACTTTAGTCCAGCTTACATAGTCCAGTTTGACATTGGTCCCAAACTTGTTTCCAAGTATGGCTGAGGACAAAATGTAGGGAAGACTAATGTAATAATGTACCACTAATGAGTTGGAATCTAGTTAATTGCCCAGCAAAGCTGAGCAGTACATTTGTAGGTTCATTTATACTAATGCTTTAACACAAAGAATTCCTTACTTTAAGAAAAAATAATATTCTCCCTTGCATCACAAATATCCTTTAAAGAGATGAGGCACCTGACAGCTATTTGTCCAAACCTGTTGAGCCTGAAATAACCACGTGGAAATTAAAGTATCACAAATTGTCAACACTGAAGTTCACTTGTGAAAATAATATACCACCAAGTTAGAAAAGCCTCACCATCTCTGGAGCACAAAAATGTGGTTTGGTGTCCTTCCTACACTGAGGGAAATCTAGGTTTGTTCAACTTCTTGTTTAACAGAGCTCCAAACTGGATGTTATACTGAACATATCCCTAATGTTGCCTTTAAGTATTTGCATAAAAATTCGGTTGTTGTGGGGGTTTTTTTCTTTTTTTTTTAATTAAGGCATCTTAAGGACAGGGAAAACCGCAAGGTTATTCAGTTTCCTGAAATAAGGTTATTCAGTTTCCTGAAATTCCTCCTGTTACAAAACAAACTTAAAACTACGTTCTGATCTGGCACGACAAGCCCAAAAAACAGGAACAAACTTCTGCTGTCTACAAAATAAGAAAAGAAAAAAAAAAAAAAAAGCCCCGCTCCGTTTCAACATCAATTCCTCTTCGCGCGGCTGCAAGGGGAAACACGCGGGCCGCACCTCGCGGGGGCGGCCGGTGACAGCTCCCGCGGGGTCCCGCACGGCCCGGCCCGGCCCGGCCCGGCTCGGCGGAACGCACGGACGGCTCCAACGTTTAGAGATCAGCAGAGACCAGAGTGGGGGAGCGAAGAGCCAGAGATCGTCCCGCCCGAGCGGGCCCGGCGCAGAAGGAGGAAGAGCCGGCGCAGGGGGCGGGCCGGACCGGGCGGGGCGGCGCAGGCCCGGTCCCGCCGGGGGAGACGGGACGGGCCGGGGGGGACAGGCCAGGCCAGGCCAGGCCAAGCCGGGCCGGGCCCACCGGGCCCCCCCGCCCCGAGGGCGCCCCCTAGCGCGGGGGCGGACCCGCAGCCGACCCCGCGCCCCTGAGGCGCCCCCCCCACACCCCGCACCGCTGCCCCTGCCCGGCGCGGAGGCCGCGGCCACCAACCGGCCCAGCCCGGCGAGGCTCCGGGAAAGCAGCAGCAGCAACGGCGGCGGCGCGTCCCGCCCACCCCGGCCCCGGTACCTGAGCGCTGCCCCGCGGTGCCGCCGCCGCCGCCGCCCCCGGCCCCTGCTGCCGGCCCCGCGCACCCCGCGGCGGCCGCGATCGCTCTGGAGGGCGCACACTTTTTTGCGTCACCGCGCTGCGTCACGGCGAGCGCGTCACGGCCCTGAGGGAGAGGGGCGGGGGCCACGTGTTCGGCCGGCCTGCCGGGAAAGGGAGTTCGCGCGAGGCGCATGCGCATCCCCGGGAGCTGCCACCGCAGGGGTGCTGGGAGCTGTAGTTCGCGGCGCACGCCGCCATTGCCCAGCGCCGTCGCTCCGGGCGGAGCGGTCGGTGCTCCACCAGGCGCTCTCGGGGAGAGGGGCGAGGCTGTTGGCTCCACGGCCCGGCGTGACACGGAGGAGCCGCCAAGCAGCAGCTGTCGGCCCCGATACCCGCGTGTCCGCCCCGATAGCGGCGTGTTGCTGGGCACCCCGCCATCCGCCCTGCAGCCCCACGGCGGGACCATCAGCAGCTGCGGCTCCTCCTCCTTTCCCAAGGCTGGACATTGTTCGCTGTGGTGTTCACCTCCAGCTGGACAGCGAGGTGTTCCACGGGGAGGGGAGTTTGCAGGAGAGCTCGGATGCCGGCTCCTTCCCCAGAGTGATTCCTCCTCCTATTTCCAACTCGGGAAGGAACAGCATCCTGCTGCCTCACACTTAAACCAGGGCTGGTTTTGGCAGCTGTAGTTAAACCCCACAGCGGAACTGAGCACCCCCTCCACCCTGCCCTGGACCATAACAAAGGAGGAAGAGAAGACTCTCCTAAGTGTCTCAGGAAAACTCCTCTTCCCACGTTCCCACCCTCCCTGCAGCTGCTCATTATGAGCTCCGGAGAGCTCATCCGCTGCCGAGTCCTTCCCTCCACCACTGCAGAAGTTATGCATCTGCCTGCCATGGGAGAGTCTGTGCAAAGAAACCCTTCAGCGCTGCACAGCCCATCCCTGGGTGCCTTCCACATGCAAAGTCCTCTGTTCCTCTGGGATTGCTTCCCTTTGTCGGTTCCACAGTGGGAGTATCCCTGCTCTGTGTGCTTTACAGTGGCAATGAGCTGTCACTCTGCACAGCCCCTTGCCCCGCTGGATCGAGAGAAGATCCACGTGCTCTCAGCGAAGTTACCACTGCTGAGGGGAAGGAAGATCTGGAAAAGCACACTCTCTCCTCACCCAGGCCCTCCTGGCTGGCTGCAGCATCAAAAGTATCAGACCTGCCTGCAGCGTTATTATCCAGGAAAGATCACCACATCCACAGCTGCACCTTCTTCTCCCCCTGCACGGCACCTGGGAGCCTCGAGGCAGGAGCAGCTGCAGAGGTCAGCATTCCCCTCCTCATCTCCACATTCAAAGGGCTGAGAGCAAAATTAGGGTTTGCAGTTCCTGCCATATCCATGGTGCACTGGAGAAAGGGTCACTTCTCAGAGAAAGTGGTGTTCAGTTCCCAGCTCACCTGAGCAGGTGAGGAGAGTCAGAGCCTGGCACATTGCTGGCACAGGGCACAGCTTGCAGCCCCCCCCTGGCTCTGCCACAGCCTCCTCTGAAATGCTCAAGCCTCCAGCTCCTGCATTTCCACACCTCAAAGATATTTGGGAAGGATTCAGTCCAACATTCTTGGTTCCCACAGGGCAGATGGGAGTCCTGCTGGCTCACCTGTCAGGAACAAGACAGCATGAAAGCAATGAAATCCCAGTTTGTGCTGCTGTGCTCTAGTAATTGTCCAGGTACTGGCAGAAGCCTTTCTCGTGGAAGAATAAATATTAATAAAAAATGAGTAAATAAGGGGAAAGAGGGCCCTCTCTCTCAAGGAAAAGCTTCATAAGCACCATTCCTATCTTAAGATGCCCCACAGTGTCCACATTAATCCATTTTCTTGCACTGCAACTGCATAAATCCCTGCCCTGGGCAGTGCTTGCAGAGGTAGAGATTCTGCTACCACACTTACAACATTTGACTGTCAGTCTTGATTAACTCCATGATAATGAGTGCAACAGTGGGAATCCTGCAGCACTGGGTGCGGTGAGTAAGCCCTCACCCTCACAACAACACTTCACCTTAACGATGCATTTGAAGGGAAAAAAGCCACAAAACAAATGCAAAATATGGCTGTGGGTTGCAGAGCAATAAAAATGAGAGGCCAGCAGTGAGCTGGCACCTCTTGCCCTGTGAGATCTTGTATCTGAGAGAGACCTGTGGTGTGCAAGGAAGGGAAGGTTCAGCTCCATGAGCTCCCCAGCCAGAAGAACAACATATTCCACAGGATGGCCACCTGACAGTAACAATGACTTATAGCTGAGTCACAGTTTGAGGCTCCTCGAACAAAGGAACCACTTCTCCCTATTGCTGTCACATCCCAGATCACCTCACAACACTGGTTTACCAGGAGAGGATAAACCCATTTCATGGGGCCCTAATAAACTTCTATACTTAAGGACAATTAGCTGTGGGATCAGAGGAGGAACAGCACTGTGGGAGAGGCCAGGAAGACACAAATTGTGTTTCCAAAGGATGCCTTGAGTATAGCCAGGGGTGGAAAATTGTCTGGAATGCTTCATCTCTGCTGGCAAAGGCAGAGAAGCCCAGACCCAGGCTCCAGGCTGCAGCTTCACCTTCTGCCTGAACAGACCTTCACTCTGAGAATGAGGAAAAGGTCATTATCAAAAAAGTGACAACACTCAGAGATGCCTCACTACAGCTGCCCTACGAGGAGAGGACAGGATGGATTCTTTAGGCTTTTAGGAGTGTTAATTGCTCACCTTGACCTCCAACACAGATCTACAGTGATAAAGTTTGTTAACTTCCTACACTTAACCTGTAATTAATTGCCACATCCTCCTGCGGGACTCAGTTTGCTTGTCACCGTGTTTCTCCCTGCAGCTGAGCTCCTGTTGAAGGGCAGCTGTGACAGTGCTCACTGACCCAGCAGAACCAGCCTCTGCAGCACAGTTTTGCTGTGTGACTCATAGCAGGTGAGCAGTGAGCCCAGGAAGAGAGTTCAGTCCCTTCCCAGCACTCTGGATCACTCTGCAGCTGCAGCTGCACCCAGCACCCGGCTGGATTTCCCAGCAGCATCCAGGGAAGGGTACAATGCTGGATTTCCCAGCAGCATCCAGGGAAGGGTACAATGCTGGATTTCCCAGCAGCATCCAGGGAAGGGTACAATGCTGGATTTCCCAGCAGAATCCAGGGAAGGGTACAATGCTGGATTTCCCAGCAGCATCCAGAGAAGGGTACAATGCCGGGGCCTGAGCCTTTGGCAGGGTCTGAACCTGCCCTGCTCAGCTGCTCTAAGCTGAGGGTGTTTCTTTGTACGCCCATGCCCCGGGGGATCGGGATCCGGGCGGGAGGTCAGACAGTCTGGGGAGCTGCACCTGGAGCAGAGCTCAGTGCCAGGGCAACAGAGGAGGTCAGCGGGCTGTGATGCACTTCTGTGCCCAGTGCCTTCCCCCTGCCACCCTGCCAGTGTCCTGGGTGCCTCTGGGAATCTGGGGAGTGGCCAGCAGGCACAAAACCCTGACAAAAACGCCTCAGTTCCAACCCCAGGACCATCTATTGCTCTCCTAGCCTGGATCTGCCCAAATAGCTCAGAAGTGGGTTTATGAGGTGTGAAGCACATAAATATCTGCAATGATACCACTCATGCATAAAGGGCTTTAAACACTCTAGATTGCCCCAGAGCATCTGACTGACATGTATCTAGTGCTAAATTTTCACGTTGTACAAAATTATTGCCTGATGGATTAATTATGGGCATGGGTGACCTGCAAGCTGGCAGCCAACACCCCTCAAATGATCTCCCATTTCTTGCCCACATCACAGAGACTGCAGTTAATACAGTAGAAAGAGGTACAAAGGTAGGAAAAAAGGTACAAAGTAAAATAAGCAGGGAAAAGCTGTTCAGTGGGATCCCCTGTGCCTGGACAGACTGAGCAGAGCAAAGGGGCTGCAGGCATTGCCGCAGGTTACCTGCGATCCAGGTGAGCAAATGGGGCAGAATCCGCGCACCGAGTGTTCCGATCGTTGATGTGCGACAAGGGAATAGCTCAATCACTAGGTGGCACACCGGCATCATCGCACCACACCAGCGTCCTCTTGGGAAGAGAGGAAAAAGCTCAAAATAGCCCAAAGCAAAAATTAACAAGCAATCATCCGGGGCCGAGGTGCTTAGAAGAGCCATCTGTGTGCTCACACACACGGAGCAAAACCACCCAACAACTGGAGAGAGATATCAAATGTAAAAGGGCATGCAAAATGTGTTCATTCAATCGAATTGTGCCTGCGCTCCTTTGCTATTTCTGAGTGACGGTGGGAAAGGCAGGGGAGGCTCGCTCATCAATGGAATGCAAAGAGGAAACACACGGAGGGCAGCAGAGGCGGGCGCTGATCCAGGGAATGGAGCTGCCACCTTTTCTGAGAATTATGCCTGCTCTAGTGTGTGGAGAGAGCACTTGGGGTTTCCTTCCAGCAGAAAAGGCCAAGCAACGCTCAAGGAGAAGTTTCTCACAGAGTTACGAAGACAGGGGAACAGTGACAGCAGGCTGATGGCACCTACTGGAAGAGGATTTCAAGGGTGGTTGTTTGTGGGAAGAAGAAAGAGTGATAGAAGAGTGATAGCAACACTTCTGGAGCAGGTTTCTCTGGGCTGGAGCTAAAAAAAAGCTAAAACAACAACACAAACTAACACCAGCTAAGCTATTTACGAGAAGGGGCCATGGAGAGACCTACATCTTGGCAGTGGCTGAGCTACAACTTTGTCCTGTTTTACTACAGTAGATCAGTAGAAGCAGTTCACTCTTGAAAGTATCAAGGACCTTCCCATGGCCACCTGCCCTAACTCTTCTGGACACTGACAGAATCTGCAGGAGCTGCCATCAGGCAGGTGCTCCCCAGCTCTCCTGGTGTTTGCATGGATTCAGCAGTGCAGACACAGGCTCCCCAGCCAGCTCCCCCTGAGCATTTAACCCAGACTGAGACAGAAGCCAGATCTATATCTAGGAACATGGAAATGCAGAAGAATGTCGTTCATCAGCTCAGATACTAATGAGAACATGAGCAGGCAAAAAGCTCTCTTCCAAACAGGCTGG